CTGCCATGCCCTCAAAGATGGCAGCACCCAGTCCCCTTAGCCCGGCCGGGGCTGTAGGCATGAGGCATTCCAGGCCCGCCCCACGTGCCTACTTCCAGAGACCCCCAGTCCCCTCAGTCCCCCAGCCGCCCAGGGCCGCCCCAAGGCGCAGGCAAGCCTCGAATGTTGGGTGCCCAGCTTCCCAGGGCTGGCCTGAGGTGCAGGCATGCCTCGGATGGTGGCTGTCCAGCCGCCCAGGGCTGCCTGAGGCTCAGGTAACCAGGACCAGCCGAGGTTTGCGCTGCTGGCAGTGGCAGCAGCAGAAGTGTGATGGGGAATCGCCTTCCCCTAATCGCCGGGTTGCCTCCCACCCCAGAGGGCTCCTGGACTGTGAGAGGGGGCAGGCTGGGCTGAAGGACTCCCCCTCCAGTGCATGAATTTTCATGCACCGGGCCTCTAGTATATAAATAATGGAGATAGAGTTTATTCCAAATTTGAGTTCTGCATGATACAAATTTAAATAAGGAATTCAACAAACAACTTAAAAACAAAACACCTTCCACAACCCTGTCACGGTCCCAGTGCTTCCTCTGGGCCAGAAATCCTAGGCAATTACTATACATCCATCAAATCGCCAAGGAGCCTGTTTCAGATTTGGGTTCCATGGGTACCAGTGATTAGGCCGATTCTCCTTTGTGGTGGCCTCAGGGAAATTGCTTGACGCATGAATGTGTGAAATATAAGAAGTGAGATAATACAATTACTACAGTCCAGCAATACCTGCAAAGTTTATTTATGAATATGATGCCGAAGTGATAATTAATCCTCCAGACATTTCTTAGCTCTTTTAAGAGTCAGAGTCCACATGATATGTGAAGCAAAACACATGTCAAGTTATTTTACAGTTGAACTTGGGACCTCATTGGTCTCATAAAGAATCCCCCAGAAAAAATGGCTTTTGGTCTCCTTTTCGTAATACAACAGATCGAAGTGTTTTGCAGTGAGCACTTTCTCAGGCTCAGGATTTTGTCCAGAGCACTGTTAATCCATATATATATATGTGTGTGTGTGTGTGTGTGTATATATGCCTCTGGGTTCTTAAATCCTTTCTGAATTTCTCCAAACATCCTGGGGTAAGGTGTGGGGTAGGTGTAGAATGCCTGGTATATAGATGTAAGTCAGCTTCTTAGTGTTCTTTTGTAGCTCTTCATTGAATCAGGAGTTATAATTTCATTATACAATATTTTCTCTAGGAATTTAGCAATAAATTATTGCCAATAAAATTAAGTACTTTTTAATATTACTCCAAACTGTTAAATGATGCTTGTCTTTCGTGCGAAGGATTTAACATAAATGCCTTTTTCTCTGGTGTTTGCATCTGATATAAAGGATAGGGATACCATTTTTAACAAAAAAGAATTTGTTAAAAGGAGAAAGGAATAATCTATCTATCTATCAATCTATCTATCTATCTATCTATCTATCTATCTATCTATCTATGTATCTACCTACTCATCTATCCATCTATCTATCTTGTCATCCATCTGTTGTCACAATTAGATATAGAAACAAGTAAGTAGATGTACATAAATAAGAAGAGATGCATAATAAACTGTTTGCAATGAAATCCACTAAAATATTAACAATACAAAACTGTACCCGTAAAATTGTGGGAAATTTATTTTTCCCTTAGTTTCTTATAACGTAGTTTCAACTTGATTATATAATAAATGTTCATAAAAATGTATAAAAAGTAAAATATGCCCAACACCAATAGCTGCAAACCAGATTTCCTATTTAGGGTCAATGGGTATCAGTGAATGGAGAGATTTCATGGGCACTTCCTAGGAGGCCACCTTAACCATAAATGCTCCGTCTGTCCTTCCTCCTAAAATGGGATTGTTCGTGACCTTTGTCTTGTTTGGGCTGTGGTTATGGAACAGCATAGACTGGTGGCCCAAACCACAGTAATGTATTTCTCACAGTTCTGGAGGCTAGAAGTCCAAGACCAGGGCACCCACAGATTCGGTGTCTGGTGAGAACCAGATTCCTCCTTTGCAGGTGGTTGTCTTCCTGTGGTCTCGCTGGCAGAGACCAGAGAGGGACCCTGTGTTAACTTTAAAAAAAATAAGGGCATTAATTTCATCATGAGGGCCCCACACCCATGACCTAATTATAATTATCACCCAAAGAACTTACTTAGAAATTCTACCACATTGGGAGTTAGGATTTTAACATATGAGTTGCAGGGAGACACAAAAATTCAGTTCACAATGCCCTTCTTCGGGCTTTTATTCTATCCTGTTTCAGTTCACTTCACTGCTTGCTTATGGGGCAATTTTTCTAATTATACCTTGTGTTTCTGATATCTGACATTTCGTAGTGAAAGCACAGATCTTGATTTATAAAGTGGATATTGATAAATGCTATGGAAAACGTAATTCTTATATAATCTTAATACTTAGTACACCAGAGAAGCAGTTGGTGCTAGAGCAGGGGTGGGCAAACTTTTTGACTCGAGTGGGCTTTTATTCTATCCTGCTTCAGTTCACTTCACTGCTTAATTATGGGCCAACTTTTCTAATTATACTTTGTGTTTCTGATATTTGACATTTCGTAGTGAAAGTCAAATCTTGATTTATACAGTAGATATTGATAAATGCTATGGAAAACGTAATTCCTATGTAATCTTAATACTTAGTACACCAGAAAGCAGTTGGCTCTAGACACAAAACACCATAATACTGTCTTATCCGAAAATTTTCTCAATATAGGAAATGCTAACAAGTCAATTTAAAATTTTTAATTTCATAGAATCTAGTATTATAAATCTATTAAAATATCTCTTCCAACTTTTAAAAATTATTACTAGAGAATCAGTAACTGTCTGATATCTATGGACAGAGACTGATAGAAAGCCTAAATATATACTTAACATATATACTGTATATAAATAAAAACAAAACAAATCAGCAAAACAAACACACACATGTTGGCTAGTCCAATGGAAGTTTAACACAAACACCCATTTCCTCTGAACGGCCATAAATTACCCGCTGCCCGGCCCCATCCTGCTTTGGGCTTGAGTTCATCGTCTTAGATGATATTTTGTGGCAACTGCTAATTACCATAAGCTGTCCAATAAATGTGATGGATTGTCCAATTAACTCTTCATCAACATCCATTTCTGAAGATGCTTCCCACTGAAACCCGTGGCGGTGTCTGACCTCCTTGTTGCACAGGTAGCTAATTACCCCTTGGACAGTAATTATCAAGTTTCTTGTGCCTCGTCCAGTCATTTGGTTTTGCAAATGACGATGCCGCTGAGTTTCCCAATTCATTTGACTTCATGATGATGGCTCTCCGAGGATGACTAAAGGTCTGCTGTGGGCTGTCTGGATCATGTGAGCATGGAAATAGATTACAGATCTATCTGTTTTGTAGGTTTTCCATCGACCGGCACACTGACCTGGAGAGGCAATTCAACATTAACGCAGATGATGGGAAGATAACGCTGGCAACGCCGCTTGACAGAGAGTTAAGTGTATGGCACAACATAACGATCATTGCTACTGAAATTAGTAAGTGCCTGGGTTTATTTATTTTCCTTGTGTGACTGGGTTCGCTTTGTGTCTAGTGATCACATGATAAAGGGTCATTAGAGAGTTGGGCATTGGAAATTATTTTATGATTCCCAAGGAGCCTTTGATGAATCGTCTCAGCAAGAAATAACTTACATTGTGTTAACTTACCGAAGGTTGCAACATTCTTATATCCAAATATTATTATAACCTATACCCATTATTCAACCATTAAAAAACAATGTTGTGCATGTTAAAATATGAGGGAAGATTTAGTATAATAGGGTGGGTAATAAATAGAACTCAAGGACTATACACTATAATTAAAATAGACACTAACAGCCCTAACCGGTTTGGTTCAGTGGATAGAGCGTCGGCCTGCAGACTCAGGGGTCCCAGGTTCAATTCCGGTCAAGGGCATGTACCTTGGTTGCGAGCACATACCCAGTGGGGAGTGTGCAGGGGGCAGCTGATCGATGTTTCTCTCTCATCGATGTTTCTAACTCTCTATCCCTCTCCCTTCCTCTCTGTAAAAAATCAATAAGATATATTTTTTTAAAAAAAGAAATTATACATGGTTTTTTATGTTGTGTTTTAGAGTTTAGTGTATTTCACACATTAATTATAGACTGTCTAAAACTGTATGTTCAATACAATTATTTTTTCGACACTAACATATGCTATATACAATATAGAAACTATTGCTCACATATTTGAGCCTCACACATGCGTATACACATATATAGGCAGAAAATATAGACAGAAACCTCACCCTATCAATACATGTTAATTTGAAGAGATGAAATTATACATGGTTTTTATGTTGTTTTTTAGAGTTTAGTGTATTTTACACATTAATTATAGACTGTCTAAAACTGTATGTTCAATACAATTATTTTTTCATAAATTACATGCAAAAATGTAAACATTCCAGGGTTGTTCAAATAACCTATGTTGGTCTTTCCATTTTTTTTTAATGCCTAACGTTTCTTTGATTGCACTTAATGACACTACTCTTGAGTCTCTAAAGAACAGCTAGATGGTGACATTAGTGCTACACTGTCTTTGAGAGCTTGCACTCTGTCTTACATTTTTATTATGCAAAAACATGCAAAAGAGACATGATGTTCATTTCATTTCTAAACAAAGCATATTCTGCATATTATCCAAATCTCTTCTTCCCATAAAGGACCTGGTCACAGAGATTCAAGGAAGCATTTAAATCTTGAGGGAGCTGGGAATCTGAATAAGGGAATACAAACTGACAGGAAGCAAAGTTCATGGGCAAACATACAACATAGAGTGTGTGTAGATGGTACTTACAGGGGTGGGGCCTAACTTCTGCTCCGAGCTCTCTCTACAATCTGCTCTTTGTTTTCACAGTGTGAATGCAGGGGAAATATCTCTGAGATACACGATCAATTTGTTCGTACAGATGAAAGTGATCTAGAGCCAGTGGTCGGCAAACTCTTTAGTCAACAGAGCCAAATATCAATAGTACAATGATTGAAATTTCTTTTGAGAGCCAAATTTTTTAAACTTAAACTATATAGGTAGGTACATTGTTATTAACTTAATTAGGGTACTCCTAAGGCTTAGGAAGAGTCGCACTCAAGGGGCCAAAGAGCCGCATGTGGCTCGCGAGCCGCAGTTTGCCGACCACGGATAGACCGTTAGGAAGGGCATGGGGTTTTCTTGTTCTGAGATGTGGGAAAATGTCCTCCATGGAACGTTAAGCACACACACACACACACACACACACACACACACAAAAAAAAAACCCTAACCAGTTTGCTCAGTGGATAGGGCATCAGCCCATGGACTGAAGGGTCCTGGGTTCGATTCTGGTCAAGGGCAGGCTCATTCTCAGTCCTGGTCTGGGCATGTGCATGTGTGGGAGGCAACCAACCGATGTGTCTCTCTCACATCAATGTTTCTCTCTGTCTCTCCCCATCCCTTCCACTCTCTCTAAAAATCAATGGAAAAATATCCTCAGGTAAAGATTAACAAAACAAACTAAAAAAATAAAAGTAAAAAATAAAACAGCACTGGGTGAAAAAGTGAAGATTCAAGAGAGAAGGATGCCTGTTTCTTATCGCAACCTCAAGTGCAGGCGCAGAGCCTGCCGTCAAGTTGTTATGTTGCTTTGACAACACCAGATTGAGGGACTTGGGGAAGGATGAGCTTTGGACCCTCGGGTGTTTTTCCTGGCTTTTGTGTGCCCTTATCTTCCCTGGTGTGTTCCTCAGCCAGAGTGTCCCATAAATCTGCTGAGAGACCCATAAAGGAAGGCATGGCGCCCGGCTGGTGTGGCTCAGTGGTTGAGTATTGACCTCTGAGCCAGGAGGTCATGGTTCCATTCCCAGTCAGGGCAGGTGCCTGGGTTGTGGGCTCCATCCCCAGTGTGGGGTGTGCAGGAGGCAGCCTATCAGTGATTCTGCCTCATTGTTGATGTTTCTATCTCTCTCTCCCTCCCCTTGTAACTTTAAGGGATAAAGCACACACAGCGTACCATCGGTGGCGTTGACTTACCAGCAGTGTTCACCCCATCTAGAGAGGCAAAGGCGTGCAAGTTTGTCATTTACAGTGTTGACGCTGAGAAAACCCCGTAAGCCTCTGAGAAAACCCCTATCTGTTTAGATTGGTTTGAAGCTTTCTAGAAATGCTCAGAGGGATCACCGATTTCTCTAAAGTAGGTAGATAGTAATTACTTCTTAAAGCACTGCCTTGTATATCGAACACACCCTACTTGAGGTAGCCATCATCCAGGACACTTTTTTTATGAGCTGGATGCCTTCACTTAAATATTTATCAAGGACCCTGGTGCTGAGGCTCCGCGGACTCCGCTTTAAGGAGGAAAAAGACGTGAATACGCAGAGCTGCGGCTGAGACACTTCAGGGGCAACCCAGACACAAAAGATTCATTTGCAAGGAATTACAGAGGAGTAAGCAGACAGACAGGAAAGCAGATGCTTCAGGGTAATGAGCTGCGGAGCCAGGCGGATGCGGGTACCAACCCAGTCAGAAGACATGCATGTGCTCACTCACTCAATCATCATTAATTGAGCCGTTACTCCTTGCCAAGCATCCTTCTAGTGACGGGGGGAGAGCAGTGCCCACAGCAGGCAAAACCCAGGAGCTCTGGGGGTTTTCTTTCTCCCGACTCCTGGAAGCACCTGCTGATGGAAGGATGACTTGGAATCTGCTGAGAGACCCATAAAGGAAGGCATGGAGCCCGGCCGGTGTGGCTCAGTGGTTGAGCGTCGACCTATGAACCAGGAGGTCATGGTTCGATTCCCAGGCAGGGCACGTGCCTGGGTTGTGGGCTCCATCCCCAGTGTGGGAAATGCAGGGGGCAGCCTATCAATGATTCTGCCTCATTATTGATGTTTCTATCTCTCTCTCCTACCCTCTCTGAAATCAATAAAAATATGTTTAAAAAAAATAAAGACATGGAGGTGAGGGAGATGAGGATGAGTGTCGTAATTACAAGCAGTTCCATATTGAGGGTGAGAAAAAGTGGCACAACATACCTCTTTCAATGGACATATGATTACATTTAAAATTGTAGCATCATCAATATGGAAAAAAATCAATATTTTATGTCTATCAGTAAAATATTATTTTTTTCATTTAGTCAAAAATATAGATATTTTTGTATTCAACATTATTTTGTACTAGTCATTTAGTCAAAAGTATAGATATTTTTATTTAAATATATTTTATTGATTTTTCAAAGAGCGGAAGGGAGAGGGATAGAGCCTTAGAAACATCAATGAGAGAGGAACATCGATCAGCTGCGGTTAGACAATCATGTATTTTTATAGTGTTCCCCGATGTTTCCAGTATTCATCTGGGAATATCTGAAGAAACTCAAAACACCAATTCAAAAGAATATGTGTACCCCTATGTTTATTACAGTGCCATTTACAATATCCAAGATATGGAAGCAGCCCCAGTGCCCACCAATAGACGAGTGGATAAAAAAGCTGTGGAATATTACTTGGCTATAAAAAAGAATGAAATCTTACTATTTGCGACAACATGCATGGATCTAGAGGATATATTTAAAAATAAGAATATTTTTAAGTTATAGAGTTATTGTTATTAACAATGCAGTGTAATCAAATTACCAAAAATATTAAAATGTACGCCAAGTAAAATTTTCTTTATGGCTTCAGAGAAATCACTCAAGCACGTCCCAGATTCAGGTTTACAGTCGGCGCCATAGAGAAAAAGTGCAGAATAGCTCTGTCCACATGAAGACCATGAACCTGTCCATGAGCCTTTCAGAACTGAAAACCTAGAACCCAAACTTACATGACTCCTGCTCAAACAGTGGGTGTCATCTCGCCGTTTAAATTACTTAGTTTACTTGTTTTAACTCAGAGATTGGAAACTAAACAAACTACATAGGCATATTTTTGGCCAAGAAGCAAGCTTCATTCAGGAGGTAGATATCTCAGGAAACATGAAACTATAAACTTAGGTAGCCATCTGCTTAAAAAAAATGTTTGCATGTAACTTTCTTAGAAAAGGGAAGAATAAGAGTACAAAAGAGAACCTTAAATTTTAGCTGTGAAGTATCAGCTGAGGTGGGCATAAATTTAGAAGCTTTAAATGTACAATGAAGTCATCTTTGTCTAAATCATGAAAAGAAGTAGGATTAATACAACCACAGAGAACTTGAGAAAAATTGTAATTACTAAGAAAACAGCTTATAACTTGTTTTGCCTTGGTTTTATTATTTAGCTCATCACGTAATATTTACCTTGCAAAGCCACAGACCAGGTCTTGGGTAAAAAAAAAAAATATTAAAGAAAGATTTATTGTATTTGGATGAGATGAATATTTAAAACCACCCAGGACAACAGAACCCCTTAGGGAGAGGTTCTAATAAAGTTAAAGAAATATTTGTTCCAGGCAGAACAATTTAAAATTACTCTCAGAACGCCATCTCATCAGGCAAAGATTTAAACAAATGAAATTAGGCTAAAAAA